CTCACTATGTAGCTCAGGCTGGTCTCAAACTCACCGAGATCCTCCTGCCTCAGTCTCCCGAGTGCTGGGATTACAGACATGCGCCACCACGCCCGACTCCTACTTGGTTTTTTTATATTGTCTTTTTTCTATGTCAGCGATATTTCAGTGATAGTGATTCTTATTCTCTTTCTCTTGGTTTAGTATTTTATTTTCTGAATTTCTTAAATTAGAAACATTGACTTAACTCTTTATTTCTAATACATACATTTATTACCTAGTTCCCATATACTTTAATAAATTGTATTTTTATCAATTGTTTACAAGTAATTTCTAATTTTCACCTGTGTCTTATTTGTCTTATAATTTATTTAGAAGTATGTTGCCAATATTCCAAATATTTGGAGATCTTCAAGTAATTTTTTCATTATCAATTTCTAGTTCCACACCTCAGTGCTAGAAAACGTGTTCCATGTGACTTCGGTCCTCTGAATATGGTTTCCTGACAGCCCAGCTCATGGTTGCTTTGTGACAAGTATTCCATGTGCCCTTGAGAACCCAGCAGTTCTTGTTTTTGTTTTTGTTTTTTTGAGGCAGGGTCTCACTATGTAGTTGAGGCTGATCTGGAACTCACTATGTAGCCCAGGCTGATCTCGAACTCACAGTGATCCTTCTGCCTCAGCCTCTTGAGTGCTGGGATTACAAGCGTGCACCACCACGCCCGGCTAGAACACAGCAGCCTGCTCTAAATATGTCAGTGAGGTCAAGTTTTTTAAGTCTTCGTTTCAAGTCTTCTACACTCTTACTGGTTTTTTTTCCAGCTTTTTGTTTTAGTGAATGAGAGGCTTGTGCCTTTGTCTTTTTCTTAAATTCTCTAATGAGGTGCATCCAAATTTAGGTTTGTTGGGTCCTCTTGTTAAACTGATCACTTATCTTTATTAAATGTCTGTGTTTATCTGTAGTGATTGTGATTCATACCACGAAGACTCTCGGATGTGCCAGCTTGCCTTTGGTTAGGGTTTTTGTGTTGTATCTTCTATTCATCTATACAACTGGCATTAAGCTGTCCCAATAACTTTTGCCTTTTAATAGGAATGTTTAGTTTATTTATATTTAATTTAGTTCTTTTTAAGTTTACCATTGTGCTATTTGTTTTCTGTTTAATGCACCAGTTCTCTTTTCTTTGGTTTCTCCTTTCCTGCCTTCATTATATTAGCCAGTTTTCAAAAATAGTTTTGTCCTCTGTCAGCTTTTTTGTTATGTATTCATTCTTGTGTTATGTTCCTAGTGGTTCCTCTAATGATTTCAAGATATGCATCCTTGTCTTACCACAATCTACCTTCAGCTAGTACATCTACCACTTCACCAACAGTATGAGAACTTTTACTGAATTTTTTCCTCTTTACTTTTAGTTCCCATCCTTGTACTATTATTGTCATATACTTTGCATCTATATAGTAAAATCCCAGAAACATTTTGTTTGTATATGTGTGTTTGTGTGTGTGTGTGTGTACACACACATGTATTACTGGGGACTGAGCTCAGAGCCTTTGCACTGAACTACATCTCTAGCCTGCTTTTTTTTTTTTTTTTTTTTTTGGTACCAGAGATTGAACTTGAGACCTTGTGCTTGCAAGGCAAGGCAGCGGAACCACTGAGCTAAATCCCCGGGCCCCCGCTTTTTCTTTTTAGTTTGAGACAGGGTCTTACTAAGTTGCCCACGCTGTACTTGAACTTGTAATCCTTCTGCCTCAGCTTCCCAACTAGCTAGCATGTGCCACCACATCTGGCCCATAAACACTTTAAAAATATTTTTCTGTCAGGAAGTAACAAAATAACTTGAAACATAAATAAATTAAGACAGTTTGGTGTTAGCAAAATTTAAAGGAAAAACTCAAAAAATTTCAGAAACAGCACAAAATTGGACTAAGTAAATATGGGAAGACTAAAAACTGAGAGAAAACTTATGTGGGGAGAGAAAACATTGAGCTCACGTTTTGAAATGAATCTTATGTATAATTGGGACTTGCAAAGTGACCACTGGAAATGAAAAGCCAGATGTGGAAATCATCTAAATATAAAAACATAAGTTGGAAATTGTGTGAGTGTGGAATTGCAGAACTGAATGTAAAAGAACTATTCACAGATTAACCAAATAGTTATCAAGTGTCTACAATACACCTAGGTGTTTTAGGAGGCAAGGACGTAACAGAAGAAGTCAGATAAATCCTTGTCCTCCAAGAGCTGGCAACCTGATGGGAACATGAAGGAAAATTAATGGGTAGCCTTGAAAGGGTGTCATTGAGACAGCGAAGTGCAAAGTATGTAATAAGCAGAACCTATCTATAAGGGTGCTGTCCATGAAACCTAGGATTTGAAACCACTTCAATAATGCAGAAATGCTGTATTGCAAAGTTTCTCAAACTTTGCTCTATTTTAAAATCACCAGGGGATGTTTTTTAAGTTCTGATCACTAGGACAGATCTTGTCTCTATTACAATCAGAATGCATGAGGGTGGATGCCAGGCTCCCATTACTTTTAAAGACAGCATGGTGATCCCAGGTGGAATAAACTTTAGCGAGCCATTGCCATATTTTGCCAAATTTGATATGCTATAAATGATATGAAAGAGAAAACTACCAATTAAACTCTGAGCAAATACATAAGATAGCATCATGGAAACCCACATCCCTGTTTCTGATGCCCCTCAGTTTGATGGGATGATGTGGTCACAAGTGCTCAATCAGCACAAACTGAGAACCCTGCATTTTCAGGAGTGACCACACTGCACAGCAGAAGGATTGCATTCAGAACAACACACTTTGTTCAGAATTGCAATTTGTCTTGGTAAGAAAACTGATCAAAGTGGCTTCTGTTATTTCATCTTTTTCTAAAATATCACCTTTTCCTGTCACCAGTGACCAGGGACTACAGAACCCTGCTCTGCCAGAAACATGGGTACTGGTTCCCAACCCTACTTCCTGAGTGCCAGCAATTCTGTTCTGGAAAACTAGGTCACTGGCAGATACACAGACTAACATTTCTACCACGTATACCTAAGTATTAAGGTTTTTTTTAAAGCTTCTCAAAACTAACTGAGGAATTTCCATCATCCAAGCCACAAAATCACATACTGTTCTCAAGTCCACTTCCTACCAGCAAAGACAGCCAAGCTGAGACGGGAAATCCACATGGTCTGTCACAACTTCCAGAGCAAATGGTCAGGGGTCAAAGGCCCAAGGATACTGGTATAAAGTGAAAAACTGACTCTATATTCAGAAGAGTGCATATCAGCTTTCCTAGTTTTCTGCAGGCTCCATTTATGGGACTGAAGTTCTCCTGCGGACGAGTAGGACCATGGTAGCGTTAGATTTTCTCCATGATCATCGTACCCAGCAGTGTCTGGCACACAGCAGATACTCGGCCCAGTGTGCTGCAGTGAGTGGATGGCAAACATGACCCCTGCCCTGTCATATCAGCTTCTGCCTGCACACAACCTGCCAGCTGGCAGCTGAACCCTCCCCACCCACCAGGACCTCTGAGGCAGTGGATTTGGGCTGACAGTGGGTCATGTTGTGAGGGTCCTTACCATGTGCTGGGCGTGAACCTGAGCGTTCTCTGTGTGTTTCATCACTTGTTTCTTCAGCAGCCCTAAGGAGTAGCTCCATTTATAACTGAACAACAACCTCATTTTTACAAAAGGGGCACGGACAGGGTAAGGAACTTACTCAAGGTAACACAGCTAGTACGTAGAGGAGGCAGAAGTCAAACTCAGATTGAGCCCTGAGCCACACTGAGATGCTACCTGTCCTACCTGATGATCTTTCCAAGGTTTTTAGGGTCCTTCCACAGAATCAGCCTCAAGTTCTTACCACTAGAGCTGCTCTTTTTTTTTTCCCCCTGTGGGTTTTTTTTTTTTTTGTAGGGGGGTTGAGACAGACTCGCACTATGTAGCTGAAGCTGGCCTTGAGCTCACTATGTATCCCAGGCTGGCCATGAACTTGTGGCCACATCCCCCTTCTTCAGCCTCCTGAATGACGGGATTATAGAGCCACTCAAGATCAACTGGACAGATCCTTTACACATATAAATGTGTACAGGTATTTCTGGGTGTGTGTTTAATTTTTACTGGTTGTACCAGAGACTCAAATATATTTGATATCCTGATCTACCAGAATGATTTCTTTCGGGTACAGTAAGCAGACCTAGGACCCATACTTTTCACTCTGCTGAGGTAGGAAGCTGTCACTCAGTCCAGTAAGAACTGCAGATTTAACAACCGGGGAATAACCAGCGGGTGTCTCGAGTGGAAGGGCAGTGCCGAGCAGTGCTCAGGAGACTGTCTTCTGTGTTCTTGGGGCAGGAAGGCTTTTCTTTGTTCCTGGACCCAGTGATTGAAGAGACGGATGGGCCGCGGCCGGCACGGCCTGCTTGCCTTCACACACTGACTCTTCTTGCTTCCGTGGGACACTTTCCGAGTGGAGTCTCCCACACCCAAGAGCCTCATCCAGGCTGGAGGAATTCAAGGCATGTGAACGTCCATTGAGTTTCCTCTCCTGAAGGCCCCACCGTTGGAGGCTCACACCTGGTTGTGGGTCTCCCAGGTGCTTCACAACCCCACACTGTGCCCATTCCACATCCTCCCACTCTGCCCTGCACAGTTAGTGCTCAGCCCTGGCCCCTGATCCTCTTGCATGTGGTAACCCACACGTACCTCATTTCCCATACGTGTATGCACACGTTTCTTACAGAAATTCTCCCTCACTGCCAAGATCACTCAACACAATGAAAATGGGGAGCCAAGACTCACAGTAGGTTACCCGAGGGTATCAGCACATTCTCCTTGCATGCTGGCAACACAGACCTGCACCTGCAGGAAACAGAAGTCCTGAAACATCTTATTCAAGCAAATATTTGCTTAGAAAGTAAATAACATCTCTTCCAGGCCAATGTGGGATTGTAGTAGTTTTCAATCTGGCTTCTTTACTAATAGGAATGAAATGCATCTATGTATGAAAAAAATCCCACTTAAGAGTGACTTAAGCATGTGGATTTTATTTTCACAATTTAAACAGGTGAGGAAGTAGCTGGACAGAACTGATGTTTGCTGTTCTGTGAAGTCCTTTCCACTTCTGCCATTGTCTTCCCTAGTGGTGACCCTGATCTGCTGAAGTGACTGTCAGAGCTCTAGCCGTCACACCATGTTTCAGGTAGCAGAAGATACCCCAGAAATTTCTCACAGCACTTTCACATATCTAGTAGAATTTTGTCATCTAATCATACCGAAGTATAATGGAGATCAGGATATATAGACTTTATTCTGGGAATCTAGAATGCAGAACCATCTACAAGACAGCCACCTGATCTCTTCAGAGGTTACCATTCTGGATTGATAGAAACTAAGATGACGACGTATGGATGGGCCTTGACTGACTATGGAAGATAATATGGAGACAGTAGGAGAAATCTGAATGTGTACTCAGTTTTAGGTGATGCTGTTGAGTCATGGTTAATTTTCTTGGATGTGATTATGGGAATGTAGTTACATAGGAGCATGCACTTCTTTTGCGATAATATAGCTACGAAGTACCCAGCAACATGTGTGTGTGTGTGTGTGTGTGTGTGTGTGTGTGAAAAGGATATAAATAGGTGAAAGAGATTGCTAGAAAAAACAAGGAAAAGATAATAAGCACTGAGTCTATGTGGAAGGACTGTGGATATCATATTCTTTCACATTTTCTAAATGTCTGAGATTTCTTACAATGAAAATCAGGAGAGGGTAACTCTCACAAGAGGCTGACTGCCGCCGCCTCATGGAAAAGAAGCATCATGGTCCTGCAGGTGCACTGGAGCCAGCCCCTGCCAAGGCCCTGCAAGCCATGGCTTGGATCTACAAGGTCCTCGCCCAGGTGTGTCTCAGAGCCCGGAAGTAGAGAGAGAACACTGCATCTCAGCCCTCAGCTCCTTGGAGAGGTGTCCTTCATCTGCCAGGAGGCAGCCAACAACAAAGATCCACAAATCCCATCAGCTGCTGGTGTTACGTCGCGGTGACAGATAGTTAACACAAGCCACCTTACACAGCGGAGGCTATGGAGATGGGGACACAGCAGACAGAATGGAACAGATTCAAGCTTGAGTTGGGGAGAATTTGTCCTCCCTCCCCATTTCCGCCCATGTCACCTCAGCGCAGGCATTTGACCTCATTATGGATGTCATGCTTACTGCACAGAGGTGAGCCAATGTGTGTGATTTGCTGTAAAGTGCAAGATGGCAGGAACAGGGCCTCGTGTGTCCCAGTATTGCTTCATCCTGTAAGGCTCCTATGCAGTTATCCACAGACACTGGTGCCAAGTGAACTTTTTCAGAATCCCCTAATGGTGGTGGCTTTTAAATATCTGCAGATTCTTTGACATTCCTCCTGTCAAAAGTGGAAACTAGTGGGTATGGTGTACATCTGCAATCCTAGCACTTGGGAAGCTGAGGCAGGAAGATTGCTGCAAGTTTGAGGCCAGCCTAGGCTACACAGTGAGTTTAAGGCAACCTGAAATACATCACAAGGCCCTGTCCCAAACAAGCAAAAAAGCGGAAAGGAGGAGTTTGCAATGTAGCTCGGGGATGCACTAGCACTTGCCTAGCAAGCACAGGGCCCTGGATTTGATCCCCTGCACCAAAAGGATGCAAGGGTATAAACTAATCCCTCTTCCCTAGAGTGGCGGGCTGAACTCGCACCCAGTTAAATTTGAATGTCAGATAAACAAGGAATAAACTTTTAGTGTAAGCATATCCTGTGCATATGTGGGACAGACCTGTACTAAATTTATTAGTTGTTTACCTGAAATTCAAATTGAATTGGCCATCCTGTTGCTTTTGTGTTTTGACAAAGCTGGCAGCCTTGTTCTAACCTATATATACAATGGCTGTGGCTTACATAACAGGGTGGCTCTCAAGGCCAAGACCTAAAAGGCTGTGCAACTTCCACCTGGCTGCTTCTCAGGTCAGCGCTCTGGGAGAAGCCGGATGCCCTGTGGTGCGGACAGTAAGCGGCTGTGGAGAGAGCGACCGCCCCTTCCGGCTGGCCAGCACTGCCCCATCAGCCAGGTGAGTGAACCGTCTCCCGCCCCAGGTAAGCCCTCCTTCCGGTGACCACAAACCCCAGCCAGAGTCTGGGTTGCCACCTCGTGGCAACTCTCAGCCAGCACCACCCAGCCAAGTTGCCTCTGAATGTCTGGCCTAGGGCTGCCGTGGGCTAATCTGTGATGGCTGCCTCAAGCGGCTGCGTTTTGAAAGCTCGAGCCCAGCCCTGGCTGCCACTGAGACTCCTACAGCATGTTCACCACCTTTACCAGCCTCTGGTTCTTGTCCTTAGACCTCATCCTAACATCTATTTCAGCCAAATCCCTGGGAAAGTTTCTGTGAAAGCTTTTTTAAAAAGGTAACAGCACATAGTAGGAAATTGATCTGTTCAAAGGAAATGAAGTTCTGAAAGAAAAGAAAAATAAAGGGAAAGGGAACTAATGATGCTTTCCTGAAGCCCAAGAGGACTTTGGCCCACACCAAGAGGAATCGTGGTTTGGGGAATTTACTTAATCCCTCGAAGCCCTGGTTTCATTTGAAAATACAGGCATAGTAATATCTATTCATAGGACTTTTGGTGATGACTAAAAATATGAAAAGCGATAGCTGCCGTTTATTGGGTGTGCTGGATGTGCTGAGCACTGTCCCAAGGATGTCACATTCGCTCCTCATAATAACCAAGAGGCTCCAAAATTTACATTGGTAGGAAGTACATTACATGCCTGGCACTTAGTGGGCCTCTTACTAAATGCCACTGTTAGACTATTATCTAATCTCCTGACCCAGTTTTGACAGAGGAGGAAATGGGGCCTTGGTAACTCGGGTCTCAGCTCCTGCCCTCCATCCACACTGAGTCACTGAGTCAGCAGTGCATTTCCTGGCGCCCTTCTGTCCCCATCCTAGCCTGGGACAGGCTGCTCTTCTGAGGTGCCCTCACCCCTGCTGGTTCTCCTTGCAGATGCAAGTTCCTAACCACTGCCAGGTTGGGTATCCATCTAGATGGGAAGCCAGACTCACATCTGCCCACAAAACAACTTCAGGTGGCACAGCCTCAGCTTGTGTTTTACAAACTGGGGATGCCACGTTAAACACACAACGTTCTGAAGCCAGCTGGCCCTCCTGGATGCTGGGTCCTCTCTTCTGGGTGGATCCACTGAGAGCAGAGCCCAGTGAACCCTCAGTGTCCTGCGCACCAGAGGCAGAGGCTGACGCCACGATGTACCACCTGGGTATCTGGGTTCCGCCCTCTGCCCCCACCATGGAGGTGATCAAAGCAGCGGTGCCAGTGTCTCGGTGTCCAGCTGTGCTGTGTTCTGCTTGTCCTCGAGTCCCCCATTCTGGTGGCAGTTCTGATGGTCTCCCTGGATAACTGGACAAATAGGATCGGCTACAGAACCTGCCCCAGACACACCCTAAGATCAGCAAGGAAGTGGACTTTTTTCAGAGCACTGAGTATGTGTGACCTTATGTGTCTGCCCCTTTGAAGGAAACTTCTGCTCGGAGGAAACTGGCCCTGTCTGTCCCAGAGCCCAGCCTGCTGTAGGCCCGACTGGTGGGGGAAGGCAGGCAGTGTCACTGAGATGAGTGAGAAGGGGTGAACCCTGGGCAAATGGTACCCTTTCTTACACACACACACACACACACACAAGCAAGCCGGATGTGGTAATCGCCCTGGCCGAAGCCCAAATTCACTTGCTAAACCCTCAGTTCCTTTGCTGTTCTTCTCAGTGGGAGAGTCACATGCGAGCTATTCCCAGTGGGGAAGCGGAGGAGAAAGAAGAGCTTATCACAGTCCAGTACTTGGAAGTTTCAGGGCCAAGCAGCAGAAGGAACAAAGCCGGAGGGACAAGACAGAAACTGGGACAGTGCTTGGTGATGGCAGTCACTACCAATGTATTAGATGCTCATAGCCTTAACCTGAATGACCCCACTTCCGGGACTCTACTGTGCAGAAACTATAGGAAGAGCAATGCATACAACCCAGACAGCCACTGCAGCCTGTTGTGATGAGGGAAACCAGAACAGCCCCCATGTTTACACATAAGCAAACACTGAGGTCCTCGCTCCTGTGGAAACCAAAGCGCTGCTAGAAATATGTGGCTGGACATAGAGTAAGGACAGTGACAGACTCATTCTACTGGCATGGAAAAGAGTGAGCTGCAGAATACAACTTATTACCCACTTGTTTTTAACTACTGTGAAATTGGCAAGCAGTGCACATTCGGGGCTCCACCAAAAAATGAGAGAGTGGATGATGTCGAGCACTGGGAATTCTGTGCACCACTCCACTCGCTGCCCTAGGGCCCAAGGAGACCTATAGGATGCAATGAGAAGAGCCTGGCCTTGCTCTGTGAGGGCTCTTCCCCAGGTGCAGTGCCAGAATCCAGGCAGGAGAAAGCACCAACAAACCCAAACGAGGGGCTCTCTACACAGTAATTGACTGCCATCTTCAGAGGAGTCCAGAAAACAGTCAAGGACAGAGAGGAACTTTTCCAGACACAATGAGACTAAAGAGACAGGACAACCAGCTGCACATGATTCTGAACTGGATACCTTTACAACAAAGGACATTACTGGAACAATTGGCTAAACAAGAAACTGGCCTGAATTCAATTTCTTGGTGATGGTATGTGTGTTACACAAGATTGAACTCAGGGCCTTCTCACTGAGCTCATCCCCAGCTTTTTTATTTTTGAGACAGGGTCTTGCTAAGTTGCCCAAGTGAGGCTCCAACTTGCCATCCTCCTGCCTCGGCCTCCCAGAATGCTGGAATTACAGGCGTGCACCACCATGCCCGGCCTATATTCATTTTCTATTGCTGTGTATGTGTAAAAGTACTACAAATTTAACCCATTTATGCAATTTTAAATTTTTTTGCATGAAATTCATATATGTTACCTAGAAAAATTCAAGGAACAAGAATTCAGAGAAAAAATTCATTAAGCTCCATTGTAGTGGGTGTTCCAAAATGGAACACTAGGGATTGAAGGAATGCCCATTACCTCACAGCTCAGCAGGTGAGCAGTTGAGCAGGTTCAGCTGAGTTCTACGCTCAGGGTGTCCCAGGGCAACATCAAAGTGTCAGTAGGGTTGGTTTATTACCCAGAGGCTGAGAGAAGAATCTCCTTTCAAGCTCATTCAGGTTGTTGACAAAAATTCAGTTCTTTCTGGCTTTAATTCTGTTTGTCGGCTTTCTGTTGCTGGAACAAAATGCCTGACATACACAACTTAAGAGGAAGGGTTTATTTCGGCTCATGATTTCAGTGTCAGTCCATGGTCAGTTGGCCCACAGGCAAAAACATCATGACAGAAGGTTGCGATGCAGGAAAGCTGCTCAGCTCATGCAGCCAGAAAGCAGAGTTGGAAAGAAACAGAAAGGGCCCGGGATCAAATATAATTCCCAAGATCACATCCTCGTGACTCACATACACACTCCAAAGTGTGCTTTACTAAGTACCTCTCAAGCCAGTCTTATTGACAGTCGCACCAACTCATCCACACACCATGTCTAGTGGACGCAAGATTAGACAGACGTAGTGTATCTGTGGGGATGCTGCTGTGATGGTCAGAGTGCACTTATGCAATGGGGGGCTCACCTGCAGGACTCATTAGTGTATCTGAGGCTATGGACCCTCTCGTATAATTCAGTGTAAAGTAGGTTCTGTGTACTATTCCGTAGACTTTTCTATAGATGTGTGTACAGATAGACTAAAAAGACAGCTAAGGTACCTGTGTTCATGTAGTACGCAAAGAAAAATATCTAGAAAAAGCCAGACATGAGGGCACACACCTGTGATCCCAGCACCCTGGGAAGGTGAGGCAAGAGGATCCCAAGATCCAGCTCAGCCTGGGCAATTTAGTGAGATCCTGTTTCAAAATAATAATCAAAAAGAGCTGGGACCATAGCTCAGTGTGAAGGTCCTGGGTTCAATCCTCCTCACCAAATCCAAATTTAGAAAATAGATATATTTTTTTAAAAAAAGGAAATAGATACAAAAGCTAACTGTGATTAGCTCTGGAAAGTGGAGTTGAGGGAAGAGATATATGGACAACTTTGTTTTGGGAGTTTATACATAATCATGTATTTTTTATATTTACTGAATCTATAGACTGAAAACCAGGAAAAGATGTTTGAAAAGGACAGTAGGAGACCAGGGCTGGCTTCTCGGCAGAGTGCGCCCAGGCAGAGGGCACTGGCTGAGCCAAGATGAAGCAACACAGAGCCACGTGACACCTTAGCTCTGTTGCAGTTCCAGGCCTGGCACAGAGCTACAGAGAAATCAGATTTACAAGACAACCTGTCCCGAGTTAAGGGCAGAGGTGACTGACTGCTAAGTGTGAAGGCGAGCCAGACTCCCCGGAAGTTCCCAGACAAGGTCCTCCCACCCCAACACACCACTCGCCTTTCGGTGTTGAAAGACGGACATTCTTCCATTGTAGCTACCGACCAGACCTCATTAGCCTTGTGTCTAATGTCGAGATGCCCTGGAAAACTTGTCTGCAAATGGTGCTCTGAGTCACTGACACTAGTAAAGCAGGAGAAAGCAAGCACATTTCCTGTTATGGATCACACTGTGTCCCTTTGAAATTATGCTGAAGTTCCAATCTCCAGTTCCTCAAAAAGTCGTATTTGGAAGGAGCATCTTTACAGAGACAATCAAGTTAAAGTGAGGTCATTAGGACAGGACCTAATGTAATTTGACTACTGTCCTTATATAAAGAGGAAATTAAAAGCTCAGTAGTTCTGCCACCTGCTTCACAAGCACAAGGTGAATGTAGCAATGTAAAAACACAGGGAAAAGGCAGCCATAGACACTCAAGGAGGTGGCCTGGAACAATCCTTTCCTTACACACTACAGCCACCTCGACCTCAGCCTTCTAACCTCCAGAAGTGGGAGACAATACATTCTGTGGTGTGAGCCACCTGGCTCATGGCACTGTTACAGCAACCCTAGCTAATGAATACATTTCCCAAAGCCACTAGGCTTTCCTGATAGCCACAGACTCTATTAAATCCAGAAGAGGCCTTTTCAGACAGACCCCATGGACCCAAACAACTGTGGCCCTGACTCCAGGACGGTATCTATCTTGATGAAAGGACGGGGCAGTGACATTTGGGGGCACATCTCTGTGCACCTGCTAACGATATGGTTTTCCAGCCCTGAGGTTCTACCGGCCCCTTCCTGTGCCCTTCCTTTGCTATGAGAGGAAGAAAACTAAAGCCAGGGGTCCTTTTCCTTCTTCCCATGCCCGCCGCATTCATCCACTGCATCATTTTCCTTGAATAGAGCATGATGATGAAGCAGCCATAGGCATAGCCATCGCAGGACTGGGGGAGCCGTGGGAGACCCTTTGGCACAAACTGTGTGGTCAACCACCGGCTCCAGCCCAGCTTCCCTGTCCACTCCAAGTCCCCTCTGCAGTGTCACAGGACAGTCAGTCACCCCCTGCCCAATTCCTGTAAGGAGGGAATACCGAGCCCTGGGCCCAGCAGTGGCCAGCTCAGTGCTCCATGGCTATCAGCAGCTCTCGTGGGGGCTCTTCCTGCACGGATCACAGCATAGCTCTCAACAGGGCATCCTGCTCCATGGAGCAGGGCCATCCACTCTTTCTGCCTCCACTGTGGGATACAGACAGTTGTAAAAGCTCAGCTAGATCTATTAAAATGCAAAACATACCAACACTTTGGTTCTGCTATGGTAGCTCCACACAAAATTCAGGTAGAGGCACAAATATAAGTACAAGGATGATACTGAGGTACTTCATGATAGGAAAACACTGGAAACCATCCAAGCCATCACCAGAGAAGACTGGCAGAGCCAGGCATGGTGGTGCACACCTGTAATACCCACATTTGGTAGGCTGAGCGGGACCATCTCAAGTTCAAGGCCACCCTGGGCTACACTGTAGGGGCGGGGGCTGCCTAAGTATATGCCACCGGCTAGAACACAGCAGTCTAACAAACAGTGCCTATCTTATAACAGAAGGGAGCACAGAACCATCCTTTGGTGTGTAAATTGTGGAAAATGCAAAATAACTATAAATATAGAAAACTATACATTCCATGCCTAGAAGTATAAAAAATATACATAATTATATATACATATATATGCGTGTGTACATACAAATGTTTTTATGTGTAGAAAAAAGTCTGGGAGCCGGCGATTTAGCTCAGTGGTGCTGCTGCCTGCCTCACAAGTGCAAGGACCTGAGTTCGATCTCCAGTACCAAAACAGAAAAAAAGAAAAAAGTCTGGGAGGATTTATAACCGAAAAGTCATTACTTCTGGATGGTGAAATTAGGAGGAACAGAAGCTTACACTTTAGGAGTATCATACTATTTGAATTGCCAAAAAGAACATGCACTAATTTTATAATTAAAAAAATGAAGTCAGTATGCTTAGGAGATACACATCAAAGCACTCAAGGGTAAAGGGTCATGATACTTGTAACCCATCTTCAAATGCTTCAGCAACAATAGATAAAAAAATACGTATTTTATCTATGGCACATGAGACAGACAGATATTGAGAATGCAACTGTGGAAAACGGCAATAATTGGTGTATCAAAGTGAAAAGTATATGGAATTTCACTGTACTACTCTGGCAACTTTTGTCTGTATTTGAAATATTATTAAAACTTAAATAAAAATAAAGCTAGGATGACGGTCAGGTCCTGGGAGGCCACCAGAGGTCCAGAGAATGAAGGCCTCAAAGGACCAGCAGGGTCTCAGCAAAGCCCTGGCCCTCCAGAAAGGCTGGGTTTAAATCCAGGTTTTAAATGGCTTTATTTTTTCCAATGATGTCCTTACAATACTGGATCCGGAAAGAACCACAAACATAGCTTAGGGTCTGACCAAGCGACTGGAGAAATCCTCTGTGGGTCCTGGCGACCCCCATGATCAGCCCCACAGTCCAGCCGAGTCTAGTTCAGGGCTGTGGCTTGAGACAGAGTCCTCCTCCCCGATCCAGCCCAGCTGGCCTGAGTCCTGGGAAGAATCCAGATCCTCACCTCCGATGATCTGCTCCGATGGCATCTGTGACTCTGCTAAAACCCTGTTCTCTGGAAAGAGAAAACAAAGCAGTTTCAGCGAAGATAAAACAGCCTGCTTCTCCAGGAAGCCCACGTTCACAAGGACACTCCCGCGCCGCTCCCCCGAGTCCCACCCCGGAACACTGCGTGCCCTCCCCCACGTCCACTGCTTCTGCGGAGCAGGAAGGGAACTGGGTCTCACCACACACTGCTCCTTGGCACTGAGCCGGCGGAACTTAATTACTGCTCCATTCTGCCCGGATTCCTCAGGCCACTGACCCTTGAATAAATGGACAACGCTGCCCATAACACTGTAACCTCGGGTTGAATCCTGCACTCCCTCGGCACTGCTTGTCCTTCATCAAGGAGTAACCAAGTCTCCCCTGCCCTCAGGGTAACCTCTCTTCCTCAGTGAGCAACAGAGACGAATGGCATCCCTCTGACTTGAGTCTTTCTGGGTGGACTTCTCTTGCAAGCCCCACAGGGCCCCACTCACTTCAAGAGGGCCTCCAGCTCCCGCTTGATCCTGCCCACCACGGGGGGCCCCCCGTAGGTGAGAGCCGTGTAGAGCTGCACCAGGGAGGCCCCCGCCCGGATCTTCTCCAGCGCGTCCTGCCCGCTGCTCACCCCACCAACCCCGATGATGGGGATTCTGCCTGCAGAGAAGCACAGGACAGCAGTGACAGGGCGGGGACACCCAGCACCTTGGGCTGGCTTCGGCCTGCAGCAGATGCGGTAAGAGGGATCGCCAGTGCCCACGGGGAGCCTGAGCCACGCACAAGGGAAGACACAGAGGCACAGACAGCGGAGGCCTTGCCTTGGGTCAGTGCGTACATCTCGCGGATGGTCTGAGTTGATAAATGGCGGAGGGGCATCCCGCTCAGGCCTCCCGCCTCAGAGCGCAGGGCACCCCGCAGGCCAGCCGGGCGACTCACTGTGGTGTTTGTCACAATCAATCCATCGATGCCCAGCTGCAGTGCGACACAGAAACAGGTCTGAGTCAGGGCTCTGAGGGATACAGTAGCTTCTCTGGAAGACTGAGGCAGCCTCTAGGCCAGGGCCACAACTCCAGCCCCAGAGGCAAGAGCTACCCACGCCTCACCTGTCATCTTGTGTCAGAATGACCTTCAGTGTGACAGAGCAGCCACCGCACACTGCCACCCACAACATTCCGCCAGTAGAGGGTTCAAGCCTTAGAACAGTCCGCTTTATAGTGTCTTGCCAAAGGCCCCAGGTAGTAAGTGGAAGAAACAGGATTTGAACCCAGGGGACTGGGTGTGGTAGCACACACTTGTGATCCCAGCACTCAGAAGGCTGAGTCAGGAGAATCACTGCAAGTCTGAGGACAACCTGGACCACATAGTGAATTCAAGGCCATCCTGAACAACGTAACTAGACCCTATCTCCAAAAAAAAATGAACCCAGGGCTTAGTGTGTGTTTCCACTATTCTCCAAGAGGCCTGGTGTGCTGACTGGCTGGAGATGGGGAGACACAATATCCAGTTCCAGCCGAGGCTGGCCAGAGATGGCAGCACAAGCCGTAAAGCTCTTGTTGCACACCAGCAAAGAGGGGGAGGAAGAAGCATGGAAAGGGGTGCTTTTTACCATGGGATGAATTACATGACAGACACCCAACCAGCCTTTGAGGTCCAAGAGTCCTCGATCACGCTATTCAGGGCCATCCCTGTGAGCCAAGTGGACAGAGAAAGGTGCCCATGCCTGGGCTGGCCCCAATCGGACCTCTCTCACCACACAGGCGATGTCCTCCTTGTCCTGAGCCGTGAGGTCGGGGGCGATCTTCACCAGCACCGCCGGCTTCTGCACCCTCCGCAAGGCGTCCCTCTCTTGCAGAACCTGAGGTGACACGTGCCACAGATGGGGACCCCTGGACCGCAGCCCAGCAGCTCAATTGAGACCTTAAGCTGCAGTCGGTGCTTTCACACAGTCTCACACTCAAGCCTGAGCAATTTTCTCCTCCTCAGGAGACCCAACACTTGGGTATGAATCTGGCTCTGTTCTTCTTCGGGTACCCACTGGCATTAGCTAATGTCTTAAGGATTCTGACTTTTGTTCCCAGAGACCCCAGTGCGGTCCCAGCCCTGTTGATGAGAGCCATTCAATTTGTGTATTGTGCTAGGTTCTAGGCAGGGAGTGATAAACTAGAGAGACATAGACCCAATCACTATTGTGTAGAATCAGTGCTGTGCTAGGGTGCTTCGTTCAGGAAGGTGCAGTGAGGGCTCCTAACTGGTCCAGGTATGAGGGACAGCTTCTCACTGGGGACACTCAAGCTGTGCCCAGAGAAGGAGCAAGTTGGGGAGGACAGGCAGGAGGGATGGGGTGCAGAGAAGCGGTGTAATGCCCACCTTGGTCAGCAGGCGGCGCAGCTCAGTCTTTCCCTGCAGGGAGCGCAGCCCAGGGGTGTTGGGACTGGACACGTTCACCACCAGGTAGTCAGCCAAGGGGCCCAGCACCCGGATCCCCTCTGCATAGTCCGCAGCAGCATCCACTGACGTTTTATTCTTCCCCAGGTTTATGCCCAGCAGCAGGCCATCTGTAAAGATCACTCGTCAGGTTTGGTCCCCACTTCACTGCTGGTACAACTTTTTAAAGCCAGCCTTTGCCTCAGCAGCTGTGAACTTTCATACACCAGCCGACAAGTGCGGGGAATTACTGCCCACGCTACTGCCTGATGCCGAGAAACAGCTCGGCATCTTTATATGGCAAAGTGGGGGCCACTAGGAGGGTGTTCTGCTGCACTCTTCCCTTTTCAATTTGTAAAAATGTAATGGAAAATGGAAAAATCGGGAGTACAAATATTTGATTTGGGGGGGGCTGGAGTGCAGTCCAATGGCAGTGTGTGCATAGCATGCATGAGGCAGCATAAAAAATAAATACATAAACCAATGAATAACGGCCAATCTCTTAAGTCTACTAAAGTAAAAGGAGACCTGAATCAATGGGGTCCCTCAGAAGGGGCAACTTGAATCTCACAGGACACATATGGGTCTTGACTCAATTGACTGGATGACAATGGTGACAAAAAAGTAAAGAAAAACTATAAAATACTGGAAAGTGTTTTCAAGGACCATACCTAAAATATAAAAGTATCGGGCTGGGGATATAGCTCAGTGGTTCCGCTGCCTGCCTTGCAAGCGCAAGGACCTGAGTTCAATCCCCAGCACCCCCCCCCAAAAAAAAAAAAATATATATATATGAATAAAAGTATCATTTTTTAGTTTATTGGTACGTGGCATAGTACATAATGTTTATACTGTGGAAAGTTGGTGCATTCCTTTTTTTCATCCCCTGCTCTTCCCTGCCTCTCCCCCATCCCTTAATCCCCTGTTTTTAAAATCACATTATTTTATAATTTATCGTTTCAGTTCTCTGAAAAAAGGGACTTGCCTTTTAATCAGGATGCCACACCTCAGTGCTCCCAGGACGGCACTGACTGCTCCTGTGGTCTGGGCATAATTATTCCCCTTGCACGCTCAGAAGTGTCTGTTTGCACACCAGTGATACGGGTACCTTCCATGTGACAATCACCTGACTTGAGCTTTGAGCCTCTAACATAAAACTTTCACGACATGCTATGTGAGGAAGAAAGGAGCTGTCTCCGTGTGGCTGCTCCCGAGATAGTACTCTATCTGCAAAGGCCAAGGATACATCAGCGGTACAGCTGTTGCTTCCGGTTGGGAACAGACCTAGAACACCCAGCAACTTCACAGCACATCAGGCCAGGGATAATCAAGGAACATCCAGCACCATAGCCACCTTCCATACCCTGAATCACGCTTTCTTTGCTTTTTTGTTTGTTTGTTTGGGGTTTTGTTCCTGTAAGACGGGGTCTCACTATGTAGTTCAGGCTGGTCTTGAACTCACTATGTAGGCCAGACTGGTGATCTTCCTGCCTCAGCCTCCCAAGTGCTGGGATTATAGGCATGCACCACCAAACCCAGCTACGAATCACACTTTCTTATCATCATCTTGAAAAGAAGATGGATTTGTGCAGCTAATTTCCTGAGTGGGATTGGAAGGGGGATTAGATCCAATCAGACTAAAATCATACAACAAGGTCTCCAAGCTTCCCACATCTTGCAAAGTCATTTATCAGCCTTCATCCTTTACCACACAGGCTTCTGTGTGGCAACTGAACTTTCATTAGTAATCATCTGCCCAATGCAACAAGATTCTGGAGTTAAGTGCTGCTGAATTACCCCTTCCCCAAATGTCGCTTTGTCACCTCACGCGTCTTGGCATGGTGCTAAGAAGAAGCTGTCTTCGGGGCTCCCAGCTGCTGGCAGACACATATGTGCTGAGCACAGCTACAGGACTCTGCTCCACTCCAATGAACGCAAGGGTGGACTGGGGTGAGGGGGTTTCATGGAGGGCTGGGGATACAGCTTGTACACAGGGACCTGTGGACACCGAAAAGGAAGGCAAGAGGCGGGAGAGCCTCACACACCATGGGAGTCAGGACCTTCAAAGCTCCCCGGATGGGAGCACAGCAGGGTCTGGTTCTACCAAAGCCAGGTGTTTCTCAAGAGGGTCATTTCCTGCTCCCACATCTGAAATCGCCACAAGCAGCAGCCCTTTCTACCTCACTTCCTGAGATGAATACAAGAGCCACAGGCTTCCACATCCTGCTCCCAGATCTCCCATGACAGACCTCCCAAAAGGAGTCCCAGAGGGACCTACCGAGGAAAATGCCTCTGGGGCTGCGACCCCACACGGTCCCAGGGCTGTGACCCCCATGTGCAGCTGAGACAACAAAGTTGAGAGCCACAGGGAACAAATAGCATCTCCAAAGGCAGCCTTCGGAAGCACACGCTGTTTCTAACAGATCCTGTGGAATATTTCAAAATGCTACCACCATTATATCCAAGTGGGGAGCAGTATGGCCAACCTGACTTCTTTGTCTTTCCTAGTTATTCCATGTAAGGCTTTGCTCGATGCAAGACTCAGCTAGAACCTTGGAGGAGGTGAAGGAACCAGGAAACTCCTGTGGGAAAAGAGCCCGAGGTTCCCAGAAGCCTCTTCCTTCTGCTCAGTCACAGTCACTCCCCAGAGTTTCTCCTAACATTTCTTCTAACAGCTGTAGAAAGCCCTCCCTCGGCCTCCCCTTTACCTGCCGTGAGCCTGGTCTGCTTCTGCTGCCTTGCCCGTAACCTGCGCTCCACCGCCAGGAGCCCCTGGCTGTTAAATCCGCACCTATGGCACAAGAGCCAGAGGGAGGGCAAGATGAGAAGGCAGCAGTTTGGAAAAAGCACCACAGCCATTTCCACCACAGACTTACAACTTTGAAAAACAATCAAAAGTCATTTCCTAGACCTCCAAAATCTAAACAACCCTGGGACTCCAAGAGAACTTGTCAGAACTTCCAGCATACAGATTAAAATGTGTGAGCCAGCTGCTCAGCCAGGGAATGCTGGATACAACCCAGCAGGACCCGCCCTCCCGAGGAGCCGAAGCACACACTTTGCACCTGGGCCTCGGCTCTGCGTGCTCCTGCTGGAGCCCACCCTGCCACCCCATTTCCCCACCTTTTCTGCCTGTCCCTTCCTCATGGTCTGGATCAATTGCACTCTCTCCTCCTCGCATAAACCACAGCCACAGCAGATCCTCATCCCTTGACATTCAGAGCCTTCTGCACCCAGCTTTCTCCTGCCTCAGAATGCAGCAACATGCGCACGTTCCTGCATAGGTTACAATCTTCTAGAGGGCCAGAGTCAGGTCTTTCCTCTTTGTCACTCTGCCACTGGACGCCACCAAGGCAGGGACATCCTCACTGTGGTGTGACCTAGTGCCCTCCCTTTCCTTTCCTCCCCATTTGTGAGACCCATACCCCGTGCTACACTGGAAAAATGGTAATGACTCAAAGCTTTCCCAGTCTTGCTGACAAGTGAGGACATGAACGATGTAGCACGAAGTTCCTGAGCAAGTCCCCCTCCTGCCGCTTTCCCTTTCTGCTCCTGGATGTCCATGTGAGGATGCAGTGCTTGTGATGGGACGGCCTTCTTGCAAACAGCAAGGGAGACTGCAAGAAGCTGGACCAGTCTTGACATTACCTTGCCACTCAGCCCCTGGAACTGCTGATTCGTGTTATGAGAAGAAAGTAATAACAAATGCCTGTTGCTGGAGCCACTGTGTTACTTGCAGCCAGAAGCAGCAGAGCAGGTGAAGTGGCACATGGACTTGGTAACTGAGTAGCATTTATTGAGCACCCACCACACAGCAGTTGGAGCAAGGAGTCCGAACGCTCCAAGTGCCCGAGAGCAAAGCTCCCTGACCCACACCATTCATCTGCAGGATCCTGCCAACCACCATCATCCCAGACCTGCAGTTATGTGTGGCAGTTCAATCAGAAACATGCATATTTTGCCTGGCCAGTTCTGAAGATATTGGTCCCTGCCCACAATGCAGCAGAAAGTTCAAAAACTAGATCTCTGATGTTGGGAAATTTCCCTGAAATAGGCACAACACAGCAGAAGACACAGGCGGATAAACTTGTGCTGGGTCAATCTCAATCTCCCAGCACGTCACTGACAGCCCCAGACACCTACCAAAACCGCCCAAGGAGCCTGTCCAGCACTGCTGTCCAAAACTAGGAACTTATTCCACCTTCTGGGTTTGCTGTTGCACAAACTGCGCAGGGTAACAAAAAGAAGGGCTTTATACCACCTAGAAGGGCTTCTCGTCCTAAAAGCAGCTGTATACATTAAATAAATTATCCTGTTTATTATTGGTCAGTAAGGGCTGCCTGTTCAAAACCAGGGCTGCTGGCCACACATGGCTTCTCAGCCCCAGAAACGTGGCCGGTCCACCTCGAGAGGGGCTGGAAGTAAAGGGCACACCAGCATTGGAAGATTTGGCCCAACAAGGGAGGTAGCTAACTGATCTTTATATCAGTCACATACTACAATGATACTGACAATATGTTATTTATAATTGAATAAGTTATAAATTCTTAATTTTACTTCTTTTTCCTGTTTTAATGTGGTCACTGTAATATTTTAAATTACAATTTGGAGCTCACATTGTATTCCTTTTTGGCCCAGGTCAGACAAGGGCATCAGATTAACAATGTGGAGAAAGCTTAAAGTTCAACAAGCTGCAGCTGCGCCCAGCTGGCCCACACGTCCTCTCTGTGACTGTAGCGAAGGTACACAGCTCTCCACGCCTCAAGGCACCTGCTGAGTTAGCAACACTTGTTTTCCAGGGCTGGCACCCAGAAGTGCTCAGGGGAGTTCCTGAACATTCCAAGAGGGAACAGTGAGGTCTGAGAGCCCAGCAGGGCAGACACTGGGCCACCACCTACCGGTTAATGACAGCTTGGTCTTCAGGGAGGCGGAAGATTCTGGGTCTCAGGTTTCCATCCTGAGGCTGAGGAGTCACACTTCCTACCTCAACAAAGCCAAAGCCCAGCTTAAAAAGGCCATCCACGGCTTCCCCGTGCTTGTCAAATCCTGCAGCAATTCCCACTGGGTTTCGGAACTTACGGCCCAGGACTCTCACTTCCTGGGAAGAGACAGACAAAATCAGAGGTACACAGAGCGACAGTGGTGCTTCTCAGAGTGGTCTCTGGCACACCACCCTCAGAAGTCCCCAAGGGGCTGGTTTAAAACCCCAGGTCTCAGCGTCTGTTTGGGGCCACGCTCTCCAGGTGCGTCTAATGCCTGCTAGGACTTGAAAGCATGAGGCTGTATCATGATCAAGGCTGGGGAGAAACGAGCCCTTCCACCATTCCACCATCAGTTAATAGGAGAAGGGCACTGTCTTCTGCAGTTATGATAACAATTGGATTTTCTGGTCTACCAGCCTGGGCAGGTGAAAGCATTTCACTGGTTTCAGCCCCCAGTCATGACACTCTGAAGCCAGGAAGGAGCAAGCAGCAGTCAGCCCCAACTGATTAAGACCTCACCCCAGGTGCACCAGCCTGGAGCACACTTTTCTCAGGTGCACATTCCTCAGGCTCTGTGAGGAGCGGGAGGAAGGGTGGGCTCAGCAGGGCAGAACTCTGGAGCTGGCTCCAGCAGCTTCAGGGAGCTCCCTGGGTGTCCGCCCTGGAAGCAGGAGGTGAAGAAGGTGCTCCAAGAGGGGAGAGAACACAATGAAGGTGAGGTGTGTGAGGGGAGGGTGCTGCCCTTGGGCCTGCCTTGAGGATAGGGCTCTTAACCCCCAGCACACAACCCCTGGGTGGCTTTCAGGCTGGCCTCAGAGATTAGTTAAATGGAGCTGCAAGGAGACACAGCATCTGGGACTTCAAAAGTTTGAACTATGGGAGAGTCAAACACACAGCCGGGACGGAGAACAGAGGATTTAAGAAAGTGGTAGAAAGCTCAAACTAGAAAGGCAAGTTGGGGTGAGAGTATCAGGAGCCCTGGCTGTCAGTTAAGGAATCGGGAACACTGGGCACTGTGGTGTCCACCTGGAGGGCCACCTACTCAGCAGGCTAAGGCAGGAGGTTCACTAGAGCCCAGGAGTCGGAGACCAGTCTAAGTAACATAGCAAAACCACATCTCAAAAAAAATGCTGAGGCCACAATTACATGAGCGGCTAGAGGGGTGGGCCACACCGCAGCGTGCAGGGGACATTTGGGGCCACAGCAGCTGTGTACCATCCCGGGCATAATGTCGCCTCCTTGTAGTTCCCCACCTCAGCATCACCATCTTTGCTCCCACTTTATACTGGTCCCAGTCTGCGGTGAGGACAGCTTAACAAAAGGAAGGCTCTGTCTGATCCTATGCACCTTTTTGTGCTTCAGTGTGCGAAGTCAGAAAAAGTGACACAGCTGCTCAAAACTGCAAGCAGGGAGCGAAAAGGATGCTTGGGTGAAAGGAGTGGGAACTGCAGTGAAGGGCACAGAAGCAATCTGGACCTTTTAACCCCAAGGAGGCCTGAGTGCTGCTTGTTCAGGTTTCAAGCTCAAATCATTCTGCCGTTCCCCACTAGTAAGAAGTGTCCCAAAAGGAAAGGTCCCAGGAGGACATGCCTCCTTCTGTTTGGTTCACAGGCCACCAGCAGCGGCATACGGTGGGGCCATGTGTGTGCAGTGTGTGGCTGAATGAGGTAAGGCCGGGCCTCCCGAGGTACAGCTGCCTCCCTGCAGATGTCCCCCATTCGGCAAAGGGAAGAACTACGCCAACTGCATCCTCAGCAGGGCAGGGGCCAAGGCTGGATGCCAGAGTCAGACTCCCTGAGGGTGAATCCTGTCCTGCCACTTCCTGGCTTCGTGACTTTGGGCAAGCCACTGAATTCTGTGTATCTCTGTTTCCTGATCTGTAGATTGGGGTCACTGTAGGAAGGACCCACTTCATGGAGTCACTGTGAGGTTTAAAGAGCACAGCCTAACATAAGGTCCATATATACCGTACATAACTGCTGTTATGACAAGATTATGAGATCATATAAAGTAACTCCTCAGCCAGGCGTGGTGGCGCACACCTGTAATCCCAGCACTTGGGAGGCTGAGGCAGGAGGATCGCTGTGAGTTCGAGACCAACCGGGGCTACATAGTGAGTTCCAGGTCTGTCTCAACTACATAGTGAGACCCTGTCTCAAAAAAAAAAAAGTGACTCCTCAGATTGAGCTCCAGATCCCCTTTGCTAACCTGGGGCTCTGATTTTCAAAAGTTCGATCGCAGAACTTTTGAGAAGTGGGAGCGGACTCGATCCTCACAGTGATTCCAAGAGCACCTACCAGCATGTCAGAGTCCTGGAACGTGGCTCGAGGAAGGAGCCCCAGGGAGGTGAGGCGCACAGCCAGCCTGTGGGCTGACTCCGCGTCCAGCAGCCCCTGCAGAGCTGGCATCAAGTATTCAGCGTAGAAATGCTCATCCCCAGAGGCTGTCAGGTAGGAGCCGAAGAGGAGCCCTCCTCCGCCCAGAATGGCCACGGCATCCAGGGCCCACTTCTGCAAAAAAAAAAAGAGTCTGTTAGGGGGCCCCGTGCCCCCAATCCTTGCATCTAGGCACACAGGACATAATGACGTGCTGCACGAGGCCACGACTCCCCACTTCTGCTGACGCTAAATTTCAGTCCAGCTCACACTTAGGCCTCTGCAGAGGCTGTGTCTACACTGCTTGCACAGTCTGGCAGGGACGACTTTCCTTACGACACTAGACCAGGGGTTTCCAGAAGAGGCACTACTGCCCCTTAGGGGACGTGGCCTTTTTACTGGTTACGGTGACCAAGAATTCTAACAGACTTAATATGCAAGAATCTATTCCATGTCCTCTATGACTTTTGAACACCCCACTGACATTCTTGTGGGTAAAAAATAGTCTAAGTTATCTGAGCCAAAAAGCAAACTATATTTCACCGCGTACTATTTCCCACATGGCTGTCATACATACTGACTTTTCCAAAAATAGTTATCAGGTAAACTGTTTTGCATAAAAAATTACCAAGAATTAGTCACCATTTCAGGAAATCCCATAAGAAATGGCAGAGAACTTTGCTCGGATTGTGTGACAGTGCAACACGTGTGGCACTCACATTTTTAAGTACTGGAGGCTTAAAGCACCTGACCATCTCATTTATGTGAGTCATGTCCCAACATCCACATATGGAAATAACTTATTAAATTTCTCCTGTTGTGGTCAGGATATTATTTTGATATTTTAAAATTATACAGAGAGCGGTGTGTGGTGGCACACACCTGTAAGGCTGAGGCAAGAGGGTCGCTGAGTGTTCAAGGCCAGCCTGAACTACAGCGACAACTTGTCTCAAAAAACAAAACAAAAAAACCCAAAAACCAAAACAAACAAAAGGGGGGCCGGGGATTTAGCTCAGCGGTTCGGTGGCCTGCCTTGCAAGCTCAAGGACCCGAGTTCAATCCTGGGTACCAAAAAACAAACAAACAAAAAAATAGGCCGAGGATTTAGCTCAGTGGTTCCACCGCCTGCCTCGCAAGCGGAAGTTTGTGAGTTTGGTCCTCAGTACCAAAAACAACAACAAAATGTCAGATTAAGCTCAAAGATGGGCAAAAGAGACCTGGTTCCTGTACTTACAGTGATGCAATCTCAAGAGACAGAAAAAATCAGTGACCAGGCAAAGATAGCCATGACAATCTACTGCTATGAAGGAAAAAAGTACGTACTGTGTACGACCCAACAAATCTCTGAGGAAGAAAAAGCCTTCAAGAAGTGACTTAATCCTGATAGTCAAAGGGTAAACATGAGCTGAGGAGGAAGCAGTAGGAAGTTATAAAGGATCTCTTGATGACAAGAGAAGGAGAAGTCCCAGGGAATGGGGAAATGGAAAAAGTTTGTCGGGAATCTAAGAACACGTAGCTTAAAATGAAGCAGGAAAAACAGGCGAGCATCTTGGCCAGAATCGCCGGGTTTTGTTTCTAAGAAGTTAACATGATCAGAACTACCTTTAAGGATCCCTCCAAGTGGTTAATGTAGGCCACACATCTGCCCGCTCTCCCACACTGGAGAAGCGCCTAGTGGTAATTAACACTTACGCACCAGTCATGAACAGGACCGTTGCCGTTTACACAGATCTGCCCCAGTACACGTGTAACTAACTGCACAAGCATCTGTAGCTGCCCCTTAAGACACACGCGCGTTCCAAAGGTGCCCGCGCCCTAGCAGTCCCTCCACACCGCCCCAGGACCCGTCCCCGACTCTGCCCTGCCGCCCCGACCCTCACTTTCCAAACTCACTCTGAACTGGCCCCACGCCATGCTACTGCTGCCGCCGGCCCGCCCTCTCACTCCGGGAGAGACTGCAGCGCCTCCTCCCGGAGCCGCCAACCCACCAATGGTCTGGAAACCGGGTGGAGCGAGCGCGGCCGCCGGGGGCGGGAGGGTGAGTGGGACGCTTGTGAGCGTGCGCGTCCGCTAGGCCACGCCTCTTCCGCCGTCTTCTCGGCCTTGTTGCTAGGTCTCACCCGGGAGCTGGATACTTGAGTCCCTGTGGAGGAAGCGTCTTTCCTCCTGGTTGTTGCGGTGTTTTGTGTTATATTGGTGTATGTTTGCAGTATATATCGTTCGTAATTGGTACACTTACATAGCAAGTCCCAGTTCTTTTCAATTCCCTATTCCTCCCGTCCCTCCCAGATCCTTTCGATTCTTCATCCTATTCTGTTTACAAAAGTTCTATTTTCATTTTTTTTTTTTTCTTGGTACCGGGGATCGAACTCAGGACCCTGTGCTTGCGAGGCAGGCGCAGCGTTACTGAGCCAAATCCCCGGTCCTCTTCAATTCTTTTAAAATCCCCTTTCCCTCCTTTCTTCTCATCTCTTGTTCCCCTGTCCTTTCGAAAAAGATCGCCCTGCTTCCTATTTATTAAGTATAATTTTTTAGTTCCTCATTTAAGAGAAACCAGGTCATATTTCAGCTTCCGTATCTGGCTTACTTCACTTAATATTATGGTCTCAGGGTGCATCCATTTACCTACCGGGGCCTCTCCTTTATCTTCTGCAGAGTACGCCGCTGTGTGTGTGTGTGTGTGTGTGTGTGTGTGCGCGCGTGTGTGTGCGCGCGTGTGTGCGCGCCCGCGTGTTCCTCCATCTGTTGGTGGGCGTACAGGCCACTGTGCTGACGAGACGCTGTGTGCGTCTAGGCTCCAAGGTCTAGCCATCATAAATTGCGCTTCTATGCACACCAGTGTGCATGGATCACTAATGTGATGACTAACTCTTGAGAAGTTACCCAGAAGGAGAAAAATGGGTTGACAGAATTTCTAGTTTTAGTTTTTTGAGCAATCTTCACACTGATTTCCATAGTGGTTGTACTACTTTACATCCCCCCTACAATGTAGAAGTGTTCCTTTTCTCCCATAGCCTTCTCACACTTGTTATTTGATTTCTTTTGTTTGTTTATTTTGCATGACAGGGTCTCCCTACGTAGTTCAGGCTGGATTTGAACTCACTGTATAGCCCAAACTAGTCTGGAACTTGCAGCGATCCTCCTGCGTAAGCCTTCCAAGTGCTGGGATTATAGGCATACACTACCATGCCCAGCTATTTTTTGATTTCTTAATGACTGTTATTCTTGCTAGTATAAGATGGTATCTCAATGTCATTTTAATCTGCGTTCTCTAGTGAACAGCAATGTTGAACATTCATGTATTTATTGGACATTTATACTTCTGAGATGTCTATGAATTCGGCAGTTAATCTATCTAGTCCTGGCCCTTTTAAGTTTTTTTATTATCTTTTTATTGCTGCTTCAATTTTGTTGCCTGGTAATGAATCATTGGGAGTTTTAAGTCTTCTTGGTTCAATTTCATTAATTCATATGTGTCTCCATTTCTTCTGAGTTCTCCAATTTTGTGGTGTACAGATTTGTGAAGTTGCTAATCATCTTCTGGTTTTCAGCACTGTCTGTTATGATTTCACCCTTTTCATTTCTAATTGCATTGGTTGGTGTCTTTTCTTTCTTTTGTAAGGCTGCCTAAGGGTTTATTCTTTCAAGGAACTGGCTGTTTAATTCACTGATTCTTTGTGGGGTTTTTGTTGTTGTTTTTTTTTAAGTCTCCATTTCATTGAATTCTGCTCTGATCTTTATAATTTCCTTTCTTGTACAAACTTCGGCTTTGGACTGATCTTGTTTTTCTAGACCTTGAGGTGCATCATTAGGTTATTTCTTTGGGCTCATTCTGTTTTTCTGATGTAGAAATTCACAGTTATAAACTTCCCTCATAGGACTGCTTTCATTATGTCCCGTAAGTTCTGATATGTTGTACTGGTGTTATCATTTAATTCTAGGAATCATCTTATTTCTTCTATGACTCACTTATTATTCAAGAGTGTTGTTTAATTTACATATGTTTGCATAATGTCTATATTTCTTTTGCCATTTATTTCCAGTTTCATTGCATTATGATCTGGTAATGTGCTTCAGAAACTTTCTATTCTTTCACATTTACTTAAGCATGCTTTGTTTGCTACTGTGTGGTCTATTTTGGAGAAAGTGCCATGTGCTGCTGAAAAGAATGTGTGTTCTGTTGTTTATGTTGTTGGGTAGAACAGTCTGTAGGTATCAAGTCCATTTATACAAGCTTTGGTTTAACTCTAGTATTTCTTTGTTGATTTTTTGTTTGTTTGGTTGGTCATTTGACCTATTTATAATAGGGTGGTATTGATGTCATCTTCATTATTGTTTGTTTTATGAAGTTGGGTGCACTGTAATTTGGTGCATATGTATTTATAATTGTTATCTCTTCTTGTTGACTAGTTCTGTTAACCAATATATAGTGTCCTTATTTACCTCTTTTGATCAGCTTTGCCTTAAAATTCACTTTGAAAATAGGATGACTACCCCTGCTTGTTTCCAGGCTCCCATTGCACAGAATATTATTTTCCTTTCTTGGACTTTTAGTCTAGGAATTCCTTTTTGAATTAAGTATGTTTCTTGTATACAATATACTGCTAGGTTTTGTTGATCCATTCCACTAATCTGTGTCTTTTTATTAGCACACTGAGACCATTCATGTTGATAGTTATAACTGATAAGTTTGACTTCATTTTCCTGTTGCTGTTTTCCTTTCTCCCTTTTACTTAATTGCTACCTGGTATATTCACTTTATTGGATGTTTAGGCATTGTTAACATCATTGTCTCTTTCTAGGATATCTTTGAGAATTTTTTGGAGTGTTGGTTTGGTATGATGAACATTGTTAGTGTTCTTTCTCTTAGAAATATCTTACTTCTCTGTTAATTTTGAAAGATAATTCTGCAGGATATATCAGTCTGGGTTAGAAGTTGTTTTCTTTTAGAGGTTGAACACTTCATTCTAGTTCTCCTTGCCTTTAAGGTTTGTGTTGGGAAGTCTACTGTAATTCTGATGGGTTTTTCTTTTTTTTTGTTTGTTTGTTTTTTTGAGACAGGGTCTCACTATGTAGTTGAGACTGACCTGGAACTCACTATGTAGCCCAAGCTGGTCTCGAACTTATAGCGATCCTCCTGCCTCAGCCTCCCAAGTGCTGGGATCACAGGGGTGCGCCACCACTCCCAGCCTGATGGATTTTTCTTTATAAGTGATCCCTGCTTTTCTCCTACTCCTCCTGAGTGCATCTCACAGCCACATCTTCAAAGGTCACAGCCACAAGGACCAAGGGGCCAGCAACTCTCAGAGCCTGCACAGACTGGTGAGTGACCCTGGTGAATGGATCTGTTCCCAAACTCCGTTTCATCCATGTAAAATACCTATGAGGTCCAAGGCACTGCTTGGTGGCTCATGGAGACCTTGGGCAGGTTCCTCCCAGCCTCACCTGCTGGCAGCACTAAATCAGGATTGTTGATCTGTGCTTTTCCCTAACACCTTTAAAAGTCTGTTCTTGTATTGGATTTCTGGTGTTTTAATTATGGTGTATGGTTTGTTTTTTGTTTGGTTTTTTTTTTTTTTTCATGGCTTTTGGGGATTCTATGTTTATCACTTACCTGTATCTTAAATTATTATTCCAAGTCTAGAAAGTTTTCTGCTACTACTTCTGTAAACATGTTTTTTATATTCTTTGTGCTGTCTTTTAATTTTTCAATAATTCCAATTACTCTTAATCTTCTGTAGTTTAGCAGCTATTGGATCCACTTTTCATAATATCTTGTTATTTTTAAGGTCCTTCTCATTAATTGATCACTCGCCACAGCCTGCTTCTAGATCTAACACTCTGTCTTCATACTGATCACTTCTGCTACCCATATTTTCATTTGCATTTTTAATCGCCTGGATTTCTGTTTGGAAGTTTTTTGTGGACTCCATTTGTTTTCTTTTTCTTTTTTGGTTTTTTGAGACAGAGTCTCTCTATATAGTTGAGACTGACCTGGAACTCACTGTGTAGCCCAGACTGGCCTCGAACTCACAGCAATCCTCCTGCCTCAGCCTCCCGAGTGCTGGGATTACAGGCGTGCGCCACTACGCCCGGCTTGTTTCTTTAGAACTGCTAGATCTTTATTAGTGTCTTCTTTAGACTCAGTGGTCATTTGTTTCATTGGGATCATTATCTGTTTAGTTATATTTTCTTTGAATTTGCCAACCACCTTATTGATCTTTTTTGTTATCTCTACTGTGTCCTTTCAGACATTTCTGCTGTGTGGTTTTTTATTTCCTCCCCCTCCCTACTGTATGGATTGGCTTTGGGGGAGTTGGGAGTTTTGTGAGGCATTTTGTTGCCTTGTCTCCTCATATCTCTTTTTGTATCTGAGTTTTTTGCCTTGTTGCAGAAATGTCCTCTGGGCGTGCCTGGCTACTGCCCTTCACTTCTGTCCCGGGATCCAGCTGCCTCCATTTATTTGGGAGGGTAGCTTGCAACTTTTTTTGCTTAGTACCCAGTTCTTCAGGAATGGGCAACAGTATTGTTTATGACACCCCAGGAAATCCAGATACTGGCATGTAGAGAAAACCAGTTGACAGCAGTTGGCTACCCAGTCACAGGAAAGTTAGCAACAAAATAGCATCAAATATAAACTGGATACTGACAGACCCTAAGGACCACCCTTAACCAAAGCGAAGAGATCTGTGACTTTAGTAAAGACACTTAGGCAACCCAGATATTGACCTCCCACATAAAGGCCACAGCCTCCACTAGGTGTAGGCAGGGTGGAGGAGCTCCCGCAGACCACGGGACTCAATGCCATCATCTTCACCTCGAGACTCCTCTGAAGGTTACACGCCGCAAACCTGGCCTCCCACCGCAGCACGCAGGCCTTGTGATCTTCCTGGCCTTGCCGTGAGCTTCCGAGGGGTCTATGTCTAGCCCCCACCCTCTCCTCCCGCGGCTGTCTCCCACCAGTCTCTGCGGAGGGTAACACTTCCTGGAGGGAAACTCTTTTGCGGCCTTGGTGTCGTCCTCATTCGGGTTGGTCATTTG